TTTCGAAAAACCGAATCGCAATCCTACTCTAAGCTTCTTGCTATAATTCATTTTAACCCAACTATAACATAACACGGGTATCAAGAAATGCGCAACACAACGATATAAGATAACAGAAAAAGAGACCAATAACTGACAAAATTATCAGAAAAGGAGAAGCAATCATAAAAGACATGTTAAAGAATTCGTCAGACATTTTGTTTTAATGTTTGAACAAAGCAGACTACCATAGGATCGATGGTGGTTTCGATTTAAACCCATATTTGGTGATAACTCTCCAGTCCCTGTGCTACCTGACATCTCAGGTAAAATATAACCGAGAAAACCAAGCTGAATGATAGTGGTTTAAAATCATCAACTTTAAACAATCACCTTCATAAATATTACGATTGACATCAGCAACTAAATGTGAAGTTTATCAGCCAGTTGAGTGAGATTTAACTCAACAAACGAGAGCAGTTTCCTGCATTAGACAACAAGTCACACCTATTCTATAAGGGTTTAGTATGCTATATGGCTGACCGAAACTCGGTAAGTCAGACGGGATTCATACTCATGGATCACTGCTCAAAAATCGTATCCAAATCAACGAGTCACAGTTCTATCTATCTGGTACGAATTCACCTCGTATTACTAATTCACATGGTTTGGTGTCTTAAATGTGCTCTAAATTAACCGTAATAATGTCTTCGTCCATGGAGTTCATTCATAAGAGTAATAACCTCTGTAAACGCATCGGTTCCCTTCGGATTTTAGATACGCTTGACTGATAAATGCAACAATACACAACAGTTAGATCCACAGATTACTGTGTATGTCACCAGATATCGAAAATAGTATAACTATTCTCTATCACTGTTGCACCACGATTCTGGTGAAACCATTTTACATTACACATCCAGAGCTCCAGTGAAAGTGGGCTAGTTCTCACTACAAATCAACGTTAACTGATACCTGTAAGTCACTTCCTCAGCAAAAAGCTGAAATAAAGTCCTGCATAACCCTGATCCACTGTGTCACACGACTTCCCAAAAGACAGGCTCAAGGACCGGACATATCAATTAAAAATAACTACACAGATCGAAAAACAAAGGACGTCGCATAAGAGTGCTTCAGTTTAAGTTACCGAAATCAGCAAATAAGACAAGATGATGATGGTCAACTGGAAAAAGGATGAACGTAGAGAGAAAGAATATATGAAAATTAATACGGTCATCAGGATTTTGATGATGACAACCATTATAATGACTGAATACACCCTCACCATTGTGACAGATTATAAACTATGACTGTTTGTTGATATGCTTATACTTCTGTTGTTTTACTGGGTCGAATTGTTCGACTTCTATTGGGATATAGGTTCAATAAAGATGTCTCGATATTGCCTGAATATTTATTACGACAATTTACTTAGTTGGGGCTAGCAGTGGAATCCAGGATGCACATCACTCACTTTGGTGCAAGTATATCCAGGTAACGAGTCCCAAATAGGACGAAAAGTGCGTCCTCTGCCAGCTAGAACTAAGTAAATTGTCAGATTATAAACTATGTTAAAAACTTTGTAAACACTGATTCCTTAACATCTTAATGACCCTACTCAGACAATCGATACTTCTCAACATGGCTCAGACCGAAAGTTAGTCATAGTGGATTGATGTTATATATTGATTCAATCACTCTTAGTTTCCTTTCAACCTAGTTTGAATTCACATATCACCGATAACTCAAACAGTATAGGTTCACAACCTCATCAAATGGGTTTCTTTTTTTACCTAATACTCTACTCAATATTGCATCAATTCACAAAGATTCTGAGTGATGGTTTGAACCGTGTAAAGAAATGTAAACTTCCCACCTGGGATCCACGTGGTAGCCGAAATCGATAGTTAGAGATTCAAGTTGACATAACTTGGAACCAACCACAGTGACGTAGATTTATTTATACATTATCTTCATCCGAACTGACAAATTGAATACCATCAAGTGTCTTACCCCACTCTTCCTTTCCTATCACGACTTTCTAGAACTTTTGACCACATATTTATTTCTATTAAACAATCTTTTTCTTGTCATTGCCTAGTATTTTGATTTGGTTATAGGAAGTGCAGCAAGTTGGACAGTTATGCGGTATTCCCAGGTCCTACATGGAAACTGTTTGGATGACCCATCACTACTCACTGTCTTTATCATACATCAGCAATGCTATGAAGACGAACATGATCAAAAGCTTGTTGTCTCCATATGTTCCCTAATTTTATTTATCATGTCTCAGTCGTCGGGTTTATTAGAGCGAACTACTGTGAAGTACACTCATTCTTCGATTCGCAATCGAATAGCTGACTAGTGCTAGAGATAAATGTTGTATACGGGCTCAGACTTCTCCAGCAATTAGGCTATTATTGACGCAAAATCCTAAGTAAGAGATGTGGTTGACGCATGCGACTAGTTCACTCCATATCTTTCAACTTGGAATCAGTGCAGACCAATACAGTAGCAGCATTTTACAGGTGCAAAATGTACGACGAAAAGTATTCAGTGTTAGCAAACGATACGAAGAAAAAGATGTGGAACTCAGAAAAATGTATAAGTTATTGTGTCAAAAATTTGATAACTGATAAACGTCAACCTTAGTCAATTCAAAAAATGACAAACCATGACAACACTAAGTGTCATTTATGAGCACTTATCGTCACCAACAACTAAATTGACTTCAAAGAGTACGGTTCCCCGTTAAAATTTCAAAATCCTAATTCAGTAGTTGCATGGTGAAATCTTCATCATAAGACCTGAAGAACTCAATCTGATAGGTTGTGTGTGCACGAAGTAGAGCAATGGACCAATAGGAAAAAGCAACCATTTTGTTCCTTTTCGTTACTGAAGATCAGATGGCCAGAAAGAATAAGCAACAAGGAACTCTGGTGTGGTAACGAACCACCCAAGAACCTAAAGCTCAACAAATATGCAGAAAGAAGTGGAGATGGATTGGGCATACACTAAGAAGGCCGACTGGGGACATCACGTGCCAGGCCCTCGAGTGGAACCCAAATGGGAAGCGACGAGTTGGGCGTCCGAGGTCAGGGTGACATAGAGATCGTGCGAGGAGGAAATCAGAGCTTGTGGGCTGTCGTGGGGCCAGGTTCAAAAGATTTCAGAAAACAGAGTGGAATGGAGACGTGCTACTGAAGCCCTATGTCCCATTAGGAACCCAAGGGACAAATAATAATAATAATATAATATTTCAAAGAAATGTTTTAGCCAATGTTAGTTTATAGTGGTGATGAATAGTGACTAGCAGTGGAATCCAGGACGCGGGTTTCGTCCCGTTTCGGACTCGTCAGCTGGGTGTACCTGCCTCCTAGTGAGTGTTGTTCCACCGGGATTCGGACTCGGGTCCGATCGCTTCAAACGCCAGAGTGTTATCCACTACACCATCGTACCACGACAGTCACTTCTTGTACGACGGCATAGTTTTTAGTATTATTGCTTGTATAATACAGTCGTTGATTGAAATGCGTATCCTGGATTCCACTGATAGCCACTATCCATCATTACTATAATCACCCATACTGTTTTATCTATCTTTTCATATTCATTATAAAAACTAATATTTCACTCGATGTAGTGTATGCACTGCTTTGAATGTTGTGTGCCAAATGTTTATCAATTCGAAATGTCGCATAAAAGAGAATGAAGAAAACAAGCTTGAATCGTCAAAGATTGCATGCTTTTTACAAGTTTGTTAATGACTGTTTTTAATCAGTGTCAAAAAACTAAGAGGCGGATATTGAGTTTTTCTACTGACTGTCTGTAGTACATCTTCCAGCAAAGACGTTACTGACTATAGCATTCAACCTAGAAGTAAAAAAGGTCCAAATAGCTACATTTACGCATTTCAGTGGAAAGAGATCGCTAAGAACGACGAATGGAAGAAGTATACTGCATAATCCACTGGTTACATCTATATAAACGATAAAAGATGGTAATAACACTGCTAAATATTTAGTCAATGCAGTTCTGTGCACCAATTAGTCAATATAACTCGTCTCCACCTACCGCAGTTTATGTATCTACTTAGTATCATTAGCCTTCACACAATGAATGTAGTTCATTGCCTACTGCACGAGTATGCATGTGGTTACTGACTGAATTTCTACTTTTTTTCCTCTCGACGAGTGACACGTACCGAGAGGACTGATGACACCATCCGTTCATCGAAATCTCCATACATGGAATGGAAATCGCACCTGTTTTGCACTTTGGTCTTAGACTGGTTTTTGAAACTGTACAAACAACAGATAATTGACCATTATTTTTCTATAGGACAGAGATTAACAGCCATGAATCATTCCCGAGGTATTTTGCTATGAGCTGGTGTATTGGTTAGCAAACATTTCAATGCCATCAGAGACTTCACGAAGCTCTCATGTATCAATGATTATGTATAGCATGATCCTGAAACCTTCGCCAGTCAAAGTCACAGTTCACAGAAAAACTTAATTTGAATATCTGAAAAATGAGCCACAAAAATTCTCCATCCCTTTTGAAAATAAAGTATAACTCCACAATTATTTACATTTGAAAATCATCACTCAGTCATGTATGCGTGGTTGCACAGGCTTGGAACGGGTCGCTGCAAAAAGTAATCCTTCGCTGAGTTGTTTATACACCTATACATTAAACACATAATCTTTAAGTTGAGAATAGGTAACGAGGCGCCCCATAGTAAAGTAGATGTAATTAATTTGAGTTTGCAACTCAAGACAAGTGAACCAAATGTCTAGAAGAAACTAAAATGGTAAGCTGTGTCGAATCAAAGTGTGAGGCACTGCTCTACCCAGTCTCAACGTTAATGCACCCAATTCTATCTAACATATCCCAAACACTGAGCTTTTTGAAGAGCCTTGGCAAACTAATTAGGTTTTTCTGTTATTACTTAAGTCACAAATGCAGTAAAAACACTAGAGAGAGAATAAGCATTTCATACAAGCAACAAAACTCACTTCGTTGAAATTCTCGTCTAAATTAAACGACCAAGACTGATCATCAATAGCAATACAACAACGTGGAATATTAAAAGATTTGAGTGATGTACCACGTAGTGCTGTGAAAGCCTTCATATCCACAATATTAAACCAATAACCTAAACACAGAGAAAAGCATTAGGTTGACTATATGATAACAATAAAATACCACTGGCAATCAAATATTTTAACATGGAAGGAATGAATTGGTGTCTAAGCATAAGATAATGGCTTATCAATTTGAATTAAACAGTGGGAACTCGACGACTAGGCTATGAAGCACACCTAATTATTTGTCGGACCGAAACAAATAAACAAATGAAAGTCGTCACTAAATGGGTAGTTCAAAGTTCACTTTTACGACTGATCTCATCTTCTTTTCCTGGTGTTCAAGTTGATAGAAATGTAGTGATCGCGACTGCAAATACTTCAGTAAGTCAAATGGCATACGTTCATAACACATGCTAGTTAGTGTCAGTAGTAGGTGTTCATTCACCCGCGTGATTGATACTTACCAAAATTTTGGGGATATTCGATCGCAAAAATGAACGTTTTGTTCCTAATTTTTACCAACTTACCTGATAGAACTGTCTTCGTCATTATATTTTCCGCCTTAAGTGTATTTCCCATTTGTACCGCTGTTAAAAACATTATTTCCCTATTGATTAATTTTTCCCTTTTAGTAGGCTCATTTGCGTTTCGCCCCAAGGAAGCTCGTATAGTATATAAGTGCAAAACCTGCGCCGCTAGATTCATACTTTTCAACTGAAGTAAACTATCTTAAGTCCAATATTGTCTTCTTCTTTATGTTAGCAAAACAAGTTTTCGAGTATCATATTATACATTCAGTAACTAGATTACGCGTCTCTAGTGAACCGTATCCAAAAGTAGCAACACAAGCTATGCAATACATGCTTGAATAAACCGTTGTTCACCAAATTAATAACTAGATTTACCTATATATATTATAGACGATCAACAAAATGTTTATAGTCTGCAAGTTCTGACTTGCGAAAATGACCTGATGCTGTTTCAGAAATAAAATATTGCTGTTAGTATTAACCTTCGCAACCACACATTTTCAAGGCAGTTTTGACACGAATTGATCTTAACTAGGAAACAAATAGAGAACAAATAAGAAGTACTAAAAAGACAGGTCCTCTAGATGTTAGAAAGTGATAGCTAGAGAACATCTATAATACGGCTTAAATTCGCCTACAATGACGTATGTGTACTGACTCTTTATTGCTAAAATCCTGGACATTTTATTTGTCTTTATTCATTGATTCTCTCTTTTTCAAGCGCTTCTATTTACTTTAATATTATTCTTATTCATTCTCAGGTCGGATACAGAGGGCCCGTTTAGCATTTGCCAACTTGCACCATCTTCACAGCCGGCAATACATCTTACTACCTATTAAGGGACTAGTATGTTGCACTGCAGACTGTTCTTTTCCGTTATACGGCTGTAATACATGGACGTCGAAAGTAGATAAGAAGCGATTACAGGTGTTTGACTATAAATGTATCCGTAGCATGGTTCACGTAAGGTGGAATCACTGTGTGAGTGATGTTGAGGTTAGGCAAATGGTAGTAGGCAAGAAGGGAAAGTCGGTCGATAAGGTTGTGAACCTTCATACTTTAACATATGATGCGTACGCTGAACCACCATCTACGTTGACGCGCAATTCTAGCAGAAATTGGATAAGATTCGAAGATAGAGTGGCCAGACCAAGATGTAGCGCCAGTTCATGAAGTCTCCAACTTTTACTCTTAGCTGTGAGGTGTAGACGGAATTGTTGGGGTCCCGAGACCATAGGAATCAGAAGTTGGAGATCCTTGGTGAAGGGGGTGGAAATCGGTAACAATAGCGTGGATGCATGCATTCTTTGATATATCCTAAAGTTTGAATATTTTCACTAACGCTCATTTTAAAATTCCTTTGCCTTCAGTATACATAAATCTGCTTTTATATCACTATTTTCCTGTCCACTTGTGATTCACATCCTGCTGTAGTGTCGATGGCGCAGATTCATACATATTATCTTGATCTTAACCACTATATTTAATCTTACTATCTCACGCTTCCTCCCTTTCAGTTGGCTAGACGGCTTTCGGTAAATTTCATTCTCTACTTCATCAAAAATTCAGTCACTGATATATCAGTAGACATTATAAAAAGACAATGGCAAGTGTCACTATTCCTTTTAGGTCTAAATGCATTGTTCAGTCTAACAGCGCACAAGCAAATGTCAACAGGGATCCAGTCGAGCAACGCCATTTTTTCTTTAGTATTTAATGCTATTCTTATATCTTCAAAACAACGAAAAGTAGCGATCAAATCCCTAGAAACTCGAAGGGTGAAATTTGCAGGTCCACCACATTGGCCCTTGTATGCAAGTTTTACAAACAGTATTAGGTCTGAGTCCTGGCTAGCGAAGCTTGTTGGACGACTTGACGGAGGGTGATGACATTGAAAGCTCAAAAATTTTGTTTGGAACGCGGTTTCACGAGATCAGGGTATGCTGTTCCGAGAACTCGGATCTCTGCCAACAGCTGTAGAGCTGGGAGAAATTAAACATGACGTAGGAACATTGACCAGGAGATGTGAGTAAATATTAAAAGGCAGAAATCTGAAAGGCTGGGTAATGGTGACAGGACCTGAGTTCTGATGGAGTTGTGATGCCGGTCAATACTTTTTGGCTGCATACACCATGGAAGCTTACTTCTTCTTGAGGTATATGAAAAAGAAGTTGGGTTAGCAACAGTGATGCTTAACTGCAAATACCACAAGATGTCTTATTTGAGGTCGGTCAAACATGGCTTTTTTGAAAGACTGAAATTTAGCTTTAAATTATTCGAAACCAGCTAGAAAACTCATATCACCAGTACATGAAGACCGTAGGATAGCAGATAGTGTGTTATTTTAAGGATATTTACGAGTAAACTCTCACTAGCCCCCCTCCTCTCTTGGGGACTGAGGCATCAGTATGTTACTGCTGTTCATCCGCAGGAAACACTTAATTACTGTTGAAGAAACTAGAGCGCAAACATCAATGGTTAGTGAGCCTAGAGAAAGAGAGGGCGGATATGAGAATATAGTCAGTAGCTAACAAAATAAATTTTACCGATAGCATAGTGGAGTTGTGGCTCATTGGTTTAGGGAGACGACTATCAGCCATAAGGTCATGGTTTCCAGCCCCGCCACACCTACCAAGGTTTGTGAAGCTAGGTGGTATCATTAACCCTTACACAATAAGTGTGCCTACTGCATGAATGTGCGCAAGGTTGCTGAGTGGATTTCAATTTTTTTCTCGACAACTAGGATATTGACTGTTCATTCGTACCGTTCGTGCGAAATAGTCTGGCTTACAGACAATAACAGTAAAATAAAGCACACCTTACCAATAAGTGTAAAGTGTGATAACTGTTGACATCGCCATGCAAGCATAACAAATGGATCAGGGTTGACATCATCCAGTGTTTTGTACATGTTCGGAGAATAAAAAATAAGATTTGATGGTGGTGAGGATGATGAAGATGGAGTTGGCGATTGTGGAACCTCACAAAATTTCGAGTAACAAGCGTGGTAAAGTAAATTATCACAATTATTAATGTTTGTTTTACTTGTATCCATAACGTCATTTGAATAAGAATAAGATCTGGTTACAGGGATAGATACATCAGTAACATCATCATCGCGTTTTTTGATATTAATATCTTTGTACATGGTTGATTCTGTTGCACTTGAACACGTTTTTTCTTCTGTTGAATCAATCACTGAATTCATAGAGTATCCAGTTTGACTAATCAACTTATTAGATGATGCTGATAGTTGATGTAGTTGTCGTTCTGGTGATGTAGGCCACCCTGATACCGGTATTGATGAAGATAATCGTGATGATGAAGGTAAAGGTAGATTAGTCGAGACAGGTAGTAATAAATTACCTGAGTAATAACTATTACTATTAATGCTATTCTCTTCACAATCAAACAAATCATATGAAGAATCACAGCTTAATATATCGAAATCACTTGTACTATCCAATAATAGTGAATGATATGATGAATGGGAACTGAACATTGACTGATAGTCAGAGTCAATACAGTCGTAATTATCATAATCAATAGCAGTATCAAGAGGTGTAGCACCTAGTGTTGTCGTTGTTGGCGTGTTAGCTATGAATCTAATTACATTATTGGTATTCTTAGTAATACTGTCATTTGGGTATTCAGAAATATTATATAAAGTATTACCAGAATTATTTGACATCACAGATATTGTATTGAAAGTATCAATTAGGTAGAAATGCCGTAAACTTGTAGAAAATGTATCCATTAAGTACTGTATAAGATAGGATAACGGATCTGGTTTACAATAGTAGATAGAAATTGAATCCAAAGGCAAAGCAGAAGGCAAAAGTTTGGTTGAAAGCAATTCATACATCTGTTCTTGTTCAACATGTGGATGATGATTTTGATGTAGATGTTCATATTCCTGTTCTTGTGGAACTGGTATATGTGATGAAGATGACAAAGGTGGTGCATTAGTGATGGAATAAGATGCTACCATTGAAGAATTTGATGACAACGGATCATTAAGTTCTTCATTAGTATTTGAAATGAAAGACGTGTGTTCGTTAGGTAAATTTGATTGGACTAGTTGTTTGAGATCTTTTACACAAATTAGGAATAAATTCACACGGAAATTAGGAAGTATTTCATGTACATTTCTCCAAATTTGGTTTCTGCATTAGGATAAACAAAAAGTTTTAAGTCATTAAAATTGAAGTCAGAAAAGTAAGTTAAAAGGTGTATAATTTTCAAGAAAAATTTAACTGTTTTATATTATTTATCTGAGCTAATGTATAATTCTACTATCAGAACAAAAACATAACTGATACCAAAAACCTAAAATTGGACGAATTCAAAGTAATTCGCTTTATCTCTATATTGATTAGTCTCTACCACTGAACACAAAGAAATCATCTACTCTGATTGGCTACACATCATTATTCACAACTAACAAAGCTGTTTATCTTATAAGAGAAAAAAAGAAGCTTACATGAACAGAAATAAATAACGCGACGGAATAGTCAAGCTTTGTCTTCATTGTAAAAGATGATAATAACCTAATACCTTCTATGCGATATCTGAAAAGAATTCTTTCGAGACAAATAGATAAAATCAGCGCGGAATCCCACACGCAGATTTATCGGTCAAAGTTGCCACACTTCACAGTAGTACACAAAGAACAGGTGGATAGAAAAGGAATAATATCAAAGTGGAAAAAGTTGTGTGAGACAATAAACAATCTGAAGATAAGGGTTAGTGTAAATATTCCAGCTTTACTAGACGTCAAAGGGTGAATGGAACTGCAATATTGCGATCGATTTCCAGCCATGTCACAAGATTCCCTACACACTAATTTCGTTTGTCTCGAGGACCCCAAACAGGAAGTCTACATCTCCCAACACGGTTCAAACCAACGGTAAAAGACTTAATCGACTGGTGCTAGGTCTGGCCACCCTGAACCCTCTTCCAACCTAATCCAACCTCCCCCACTAGCATGACACACCGAGGTCGGTAGCGAATCGGTATGCATAGTGAATGCCTAAGCCATCTCAGATGATGAAGGTTCACAACCTCATCAGTCGACTTAGCTTTCTTGCCTAGTAGCCTTCACCCGACCTCAACATTGTTCACACGCTGATTTCAGCAAACGCGAGCAATAATGCAAAGGCATCTATGATCAAAACCCAGGAATCGCTTAGTGTCTTCTACTTTTAGCGGCCGTGTCTCACAGCTGTACAACATAACAAGACAGACTGCAGCGCAGCATACTCGTCCCTTGATAGATAGTCAGATATCTCGCAAGTCGGCACCACATATGACGCAGGTCAGCAAATGTCAAACAGGCCTTCCGTATCCCAACTAAGATTTCACCAACAACCAACCCATTCGAGCCGATGCAACTCCTCAAGTAAGTGAAGTGGCCGACACATTCAACCACTCTACTCCCTGTCATTAAACTGGGAGTATTAGCAGCATACCAGCCCTGGAGTATCATCATACACTTGACAGGTAAGAGCGAAACACGTGTCAAACACTCAGGTTTTTGCTCAACGCGTTCACAAGACCCTGCGCATTGCGTCAGCGTCTTCACCCAACAGGATAATCTTGTCCGCAAACTTCAAGTCGACCAGATGGCCCCCAGGGAGTAGATCAGTCCCCGTGAAATCAGATGTACCTAAGGTTATTTTCATAAGTATGTCCATAACGAAGGTAGACAGAAACGGTGACAGTTGGCATCCTCGGCGGACGCCAGTAGTTGTTGTCAACTCAGATGACAATTCTCCATAAGCCCTTACAAGGTTGGGAGGGTTTGAGTAGAAGGTTTTGAAGAGCGTTATATACTTGCACTCCTTCTACAGTCAGACTCTGACGCACCTTAACCTCGATAAAGTTTACTGCTGTCATCAAAACAACAAATATCGTGTCGACCGCTGATAAGTATGCGTGTATTCCAGCAAAGGTCGGAGGGTGAAATAGTCGGTTCAATCTCGTCCAGGACTAAAACCTGTCTGCCTTCTTCGAGTTCGATGTTCATGAGCTTCAGTTAGGCGTCGGATAAAAATGGAAACAACATTAGACGAACAAATTTCTCGGTGATTGTCACAGGAAGATTTCACCACCTTCTAATAGACTGCGATGATCAGAAAAGCACACCAGTATGACGCCACTAACGCCAATCATCATCATCGGGATCAACAGAGGACCAGGTATTACTGCGTAACGGTCCGAGTTGCCACACCTCATATCACTACATCAAGTAGGAAGGTAGTGAGGTGAAAGATGAAGATAAAAAAAAACCAGTCAAAAGAAATACAGAGTACGAGAAGAAAGAAAAGAAGAACAAGAAAGTGGTGAGATTCGGTAAAGCATCGCTAAGATGAGGATAATGTGTGTATACATCTGCGCCACTGACATCGGTTCTCAGCCATATCACATAGAGTCAGTCTTCAACCACTGGTTCCTCTTGTCCCGCGGACCCTAACCACCTAGTCTGCATCGTCCTACATGGCTTAAACCAACAGTCAGAGACTTCATACATTGGTACCATGTTTTAGTCTGGCCACCTCGAGCCTTTTTCCAGCCTGGACCCACCTCAACCAACATTGTGTGACGAGGCAATCGGTGACTAGGCATACGTAGTACGTATCCCAACCATCTCAGTCGATGAAGGTTCACAACCTCGTCAACTGACTTACCTCTTCTCCCTAAAACTCTACACCTGACTTCTGCATTACTCACATGGTGACACCACGGAATACGTCCTATACTACGAAGGCAACGCTGGTCAAACACCTGAAGTCTTCTCATATCTTCCACTTTCAATGGCCATGTTTCACAGCCATACAGTAGAACAGAGCGGACTACTGTGCAGTACACACGACCCTTAATAGACAAACGAATATCACGGCGGCGCCATAGGTGGCGCAAATTGGCAAAAGCCAATCGAGCCTTCTATATCCGTGCAGAAATCTCATCGGCAACTAACCCACCGGGTTGATCCTACCTCCCAGGTAAGTGAAGTGGTCAACACACTCAACCACTTCACTCTCTATTGTTAGCTGCGGTACCGCTGAAGACCAGTCCTGGAGCAAAAATTTGCATTTGGGTGGTGAAAATCGCATCCCAAACATTCTCAAATTCCCACTCAAAGTGTTCAGAAGACTCTGCATCTTGTCAGCGTCTTCACCTAACAAGACTATGTCATCTGCATATTCTAGATCTAAAGAAAATTCACCTGTGATTGGGTCAATGTCTGTGTAATTAGGTGACGAGAAGGAGACCTCCATAAGAATATCTATGATAAAATTGAATAAGGATGAAGACAGTAGGCACCCCTTGACGGACACCAATCGATGACCATAGATCCATGGACATCTCACCATAGGCTCTAACACACCCACAAGTGTTCGAGTAGATAGCCTTCAATAAGGTGATGTACTTGCTCGGCACGCCTTTCAGTGAGAGACATTGTCATAAGACTTCTCGATCAACGGAGTCAAACGCAGCCTTTAGGTCGAGAAATACAGCTATTATCGGGAGTCGGTAAGCATGCCTATGTTCCAGGACCTGGCACAGTGTGAATATTTGGTCGATACACCCGCAGCCAGGCCTAAAGCCTGCCTGGTTTTCTCGCGCTTGCTGTTCCCGAGCTCCACTCAGGCGTCGGAGAATTATAGAACCTAGGATTTTGGATACTATCTTCGTCAGGCTGATTCCTCTGTGGTTATCACAAGAGGACTTCTTGCCTTTCTTGAAGACTGGAATAATCAGTGATTCAAAGCAGTCGGAGGGGATCGTATTTGATTCCCATATACTGGCTAACACTTCCGTTAACCCGACTAAGAGCACTCTACCACCATTCTTGTATACCTCAGCAAGTAGTCCGTCTGGTCCTGTTGCCCTTCCTCGTTTCAGGTTACCTACCGCTTTCTCAACTTCTCCTAGTGTTGGGGGCCTGTCTCTATGTCCCATTCAGGATCCGACTGGATAGCGGGCAACGCAATCGTGGCTGGAGGCCAGTTAAACTGTTCCTCGAAGTGTTCTACACATCGTTCCAGTCGTCTCCCCTGCAAGTGAATCGCAGATCCGTCCTTCTCCGTCATAGCCTCACTAACTGTTGTTGATCTTTTCCCCCCAGTCTCCTTAATAAGTGTAAGTAACTGTCTACTATTACCGATCACCGCTGCCTTTTTCATCTCTTTAGCCTTCGCTGCCCACCACTGTTCGCGATCGTTGCGTAGACTTTTTATCAATCTACTTCTTAGTTGCGCTCGCTCTTCATTGTACTCAGAGCCTGCAGGGAGGCGTTCACATGCGTTCATTAGTTCAGAAGAAGCTGCTGATGTCCACTGGCTCTTTTCAGCCATTATTTTGGAGTTGGCTACGGTCTTCAGTGCTGCTTTTACAGTAGACTGGAGATGGCACCAAGCTTCTTCTGGATGAGTGGTAGTCTTCTGTTCTAATAACTGCCTAGCCAACTTCTCACCGAACACAGCTTTGGTGTTTTGGTTGTTGCCAAATGTTTCTTATTTCCATTCAAACGCAGGCATATACGTGCTCGGACCAACGCATGATCGCTGTCCAAATACGTACTCCAGAAGGAGCGGCAGTCTTCCACCGATCCTCCCCAGCGATGACTAATAGCAATGTGGTCTGTCTGTGTCCATCTCTGAGTTGAACTCGGTTGACACCATGTCTGAAATTTGTGCTAGCTAAAAATAGGCGGTTATCTGAGCATAGTTGTAGTAGGCAATCACCGTTATCTGTACGTTCAGCCATGATTCCGAAAGTGCCACCTAAGTGCCTTTCTGCCTCACTCAGTCTACCCACCTGTGCGTTGAGGTCACCTGCAACAACCACCACGTCCGGAAGTTTGGCTTTCGAGAGGAGGCTAGACAGTTCACCTCTGATCCCCGATATACTACGTAGGAACTCCGTCACTTTAACCAGCAACTTCCTACTTCTATCCGTGAAGACTGCAGGTAGTAACTGTCAGGTCCTGCTACTTTGCATCGTTCCACGTTCTAAAAAGCTTTCGAAATTACAAGCTGGATGTTCAGCATCTGAAACGTTGCTGAGGGCTAGCTGAACTATGCTTCGAAGTGTTCCGCTAAACGTCATAGCCTTCTATTCTGGAAGGTTAGCAGCATCCCGCCCTTTTCGGTGATGGTTT